AGTGTTGTCAGGGAGCAAAGTTGATTGGGAGCATGGAGAGGTGTCGATAACGAATCAAGTATTGAAAAAAAGTCGCCTGTGCCGGATGCAGGCGCAGTGGCACGTGTAATAGTAATTAATATTGCCGTTTTTGAACTTGTGGCTGATCAGCACCACCTCTATTAGGCAATCCAGTCACGGTCACCTTTGCTTTTCCATCCGGTACTTTCCGCGTTTCGGCATTTCGGCAAATTTTTGCGTCCCCACTGGTTACACATTGCATTGCACCCTCATTTTTATCCTTTCCCGTACTCCCCTTCCTTTGCCTGGCCCCACCATGGGCCCCTTCCTCTCCTTTTTATTCTCACCTGATGGTCATTTCTGGATCCCCATTCTAATCCACTTTTCCGTCACCTCCACCCTCCTCCTCCTCATCTTATTTGCACCCCCACCATTTCTGATGTCACCACTTCCTATCCGCTTCTGTCACCGATCCGTTGACTACCACGTGCCACTGCTGATATCAGCAAAGCCCCGGCGGCCGGTCCAAATAGGGCAACAGGTCCATCTTCATGACATCGATCTGCCATCATATACTATCAAAACATTGGTCGCTCGTCTTGCCTGGTTGGAGCGTGGGTGGGTAGTTTTTGAGCTGGAGAAGGTTCATCCCCTTGCGTCGCCCATGTTCATTGCTGTCCCATTCACTTGGGTACACTTATCTTTTGTCCATCGTCTTTGCTACAGCTACACCTACCACACGCTGCCTGGGACTCACTTGTTCCAAATTGGAACTACTCCTCTCCCTCCCTCGTTTGATCAGGTGGTCCAACACAACCAGTCCATTGGTAAGACCATGGAACTGTCGGATTTGGACTAGGTGGTGGACCGGTGGCTCCAGTTTCTTTTTCTTCAGCAGAACATTCATTTACAGTGCGATTATTTTTGATTTTTGAATCATTTTTATGGACACATATTTTTTTAGAATGCCTGACTGACAATAAAGGAACTGTGTTGATACTGATAGTGTTTTGCCTTGCCCTTTTTTTACTGCATCTTCCCATGACATCATGATTTTCCTGCTCTCTTTTTGCTATTGGACTTTACTTTATGGCTGTACAAACCTGTGACATTACTCACAGCATTCATTGTTCTATCTCTTTCTTTTCCTTTTTTGACAATCTTATCCTGTACTACCTACGCAGGATTCGTCAGCGTACATTCCTTCCTTCATATTCTTTCTCATTCTTTTTGCACAGCTATACTGTGCATAGCCTACTTTTCTTTTACTATATAAACCCCTGTATTTTACCTTGTAAAAAAAAAAAAAACAACAAGAAATCCAATCCAGACTTCTTCTCTACTCTCAAGTTCACTACTCTGCTACTTGTGATCCAGTGTGGTCA